CCTGTTTGGTGATGTTTGCCAGACATTTCAGGCTAGTGAAGAGCAGGAATAATTGGAAATGGGAAAGAAAGGCACAGCTCAGCTGTAGGAGTGAAGAGGAAGTTAAAATGTATTCATTGTAGTGGCTCACCATGACTTGAAAAAGAATTGGTGCTGATGGGGACAAAGCACAGTTGGCACTAACTAGCCCTGTGGTAGGTTTCTATCAGGATCTCAGCCTTTTTGAATAATGAGTTTGAAGATCTTGCCCAACCGGGGCACGTTCTTTGAGCTAACCTCAAAGTGGGATGCCAGGAACCATATCATGCCCAGTGGAAGCTTCACACCATTTGTGGATTGGCATTTCATCCACCGTCCCTGCCTCAACCGCCTGCTGCTCAACGATGCTGTCCGGTATGGGAACTGCAAGAAATCAGTACCAACACTACAGCTATGAGGCAGAGAACCTCCCTCACATGCTGTGCGCCTGCAAGCTCCATGCCAGAGTGTGGCAGCTGTGTCACTGCCATCCAGGACCAACTGGCCAAGCCTTAACCATCTTTCCATGCATGCCAATCCATTGGACCCAGGATGTGGATCTTTATGTGCATAATTTCATGTTTCCTAGTCAGTCCTGCAGAAGTAGGGGTTGGACAATGACTGAATTGGGTGATGGAGAATGTCTCAAGCAGAAAGATAGAAAAGTGCCAGTGCTAGAACAGATGGTGGGGATTTTTACGTGCCTTTCTGGAAAAAGTGTTCTAAAATGGATTTTGTACTTCAGATCTGGTTTCACCATAGCTTTGTACCATGGTCTGATTGATTCCCTTTAGTGCAGCCAAGAATCCCATTAACTTTCCATTGACAGCAGGCATGTCTACCTGAGACACTGTGTATTAGCCTAATAACACTGTGCAGTAGCATGGCGGTTCAAAACCATGCTAATAGGCTATTGAGCAGTGTTATTAGGCTCATGCGCAGTAAGTGTCACAAAATAAACTTGCGCTGGTGCTACTGCACAGTAACTGTCATTACTGCACATGTAGTTAGTACTTTATTAAGCAAGTACTGAACTATATGTGCGGTATCTAAGGTGCATTAATGAATGTGTAGACGCACCCACTGTGTACTTCTTTCACTGGCAGTACGTTTCAGTTGAGCCAGCATCATATTGGTTGTCTTTTATCTTAGACCTCAACCTCATTGCTTTAAATCTGCCACTTCACTAAGGCCAAATCCTACCAGGCAAGTTTTCGTTTTAAGTCAATAGGTGTATTCATGGGAGTGAGATGAACAGAATTTGATCCCTGATGTGCTCATAGCCTTCTGAACATGGTCTGCACTTCTTAAAGCATTAAACATATTAAAGAGATTAGGTTAGTCTGGAACATGACGTATTATAGCCTACATTTCAGCTTTAGAAGTGAATATGGTTTTGCTCATTAAGCATTTGATTCTATAACAAATATATATTACTGCTTTCCTTTAACTTTTGGAAAATGAACATGTCTTGTAAGACTCTCACACAGAACACTCATATCATGGTATAGACATAGTAAGTTGCTGTATTATTCCTGGATCTGTAATATAATACCATGCTGAGCTTATTCCAATGATCATATGATACATACATATATACAGTACAAGCCATGTTAACTGGCACTTCATGAACCGGCATGCTCTATTAACCGGCATGCTGGTTGATGCCGGTCGATGCAGCAAAAGATTTGTCGAATCTCTCAGCCCAGGGGCAGCCTGCACAGGGTAAAGCAGCCTGGGGGGAGCCCCCCCCTTCCTTTCCCCCAGCACACTGATACCAAAGGAGGGGCGGGAGGGGCAGCACAGTTAATCTGAGATGTGGATGCGCCATACGCAGCGGGAGGGGTGTCTTTGCCCGACCAGGCAAAGACACCTCTCAGATAACTGGTACATTTTGTTATCCGACACCCCCCATTTCCCATGGGTGCCAGATAATGGAGCTTTTGCTGTATAATGAAGATATCTGCTTGTGTGTGTGTGTGTGTGTGTGTGTGTGTATGAGGTGTACATATATATATGAGGTGTATATATAAATATATATGAGGTATAAATAAATAAAGATGTGTGTAAGCTGTTTTATAGGAGGTTTTACCTCAAATAATTTTTTTGATAGTCCAGTTGAAAAGGACCCAAAATATTAACTTTTTGCAATGCAGAAACACAAATCGTACACCTCATATAATTCTACTTCTGTGAGAGTTATGAGCAACAATAATTTTGGGAATACTTAGACTATATGGCTTTGTCCATACTAAAAAGAATCTCCTCTGCCAAGAGCCTTGTGTTTACACAGATAAGTGTTCCAAACTGTTTATAGGCATGCTGATTTTTTTTGGATCAGTTTTGTTTTTGTCAAGCTAAAATCTCAGTTTAATTTGGATTTGTGACCAGAACTATTTTAATCCTTGTATAGTTACAGACAGATTATAACAGGCCAATTAGTCCATTCACTACTCTTCACAGTGCAAGACCAGACTTTCTAAAATTTCTTAGAATGCACTGCTCTTGGGAACTGTGTCAGAAGCTGTGTAACGCATCCCCAGATAACACAGCAGTTTAAACAGTTCAGAGTAGCGCTAGTGGAGACGCATGACAAATTTGCAAGGGCACAAAGCATGATTCATCATAGTTAATATGAATACACTGCAGTAGTGTGTGCTTAAATTAGTATAATACAGATAATTTGGTTACGTGGAACAACCCTAGCATAGACAAGGCTTTCAGTGAGTTTAGTTGTAGTATGGGTCCGGTAGTGCTACCACAGTAATTTCTATAACCTAAAAATTGTGTCAGGTTTTCATGTAAAAAGCACTTTGGACAAAAGTGTGTAACTATTAATTTCAGCACCCAAGGAAGAGAAGATGTTGATCACCAGTTAACAAAGGTGGTGGGGCAGGGGGAGAGTCAAGTACTGGGGGGACACAAAAGGCGGGAGGAATCTCCAAGCATTGGAGAGCACTGTAAGATGCTATTGGTACTTCCTCTAAATTGGCGCCCATAACTTGAGTACTGCTCGCCCTGCCCTTATTACCCTGCTTGCTTTGGGATCTAATTTTGCAAATTCTTACTCATGTGAATAGTGACTTTTGATGCTTTAAAACAATTAACTCATATGAGTTTAGGTTTTGAAGATCAGATGTACAGTCAAACTTTTCTGTTCTTCTAAGATCAAGTAGTTTAATTTAGGGAACTAGCTTGTGCTTTTCATACTGCCTAGTAAAATGGTTCTTTTACAATCCTAGCCTTTTGCCTTGCTTATCTTCTCTTTACATAATTTTACCTTTCTGGGAATGTACTTATTTATTTTCATTTATATTAAATGTTTTTACTGTTGCAATTCAGTATTATCAACAAGTACAGTGATAAGAGTATTATCCTAACAGTAATTTCTGTAACTGAAGTGCTAGCCTCACTTGTACAACAGCTCCATAAGGCTGCTATGTCTTGTTTATTTGTCTGTGGTTAGGGTTAACTACTTTTCTTCATCAGGAATGTCTGTTAATCATTTATACCAGGTCCAGTTGTTATCAAGGATATCAAACTGATATAAGCTCCTTAAAGCAGAGACTTAAGTTTTGTCTTCTACAGCACAGACCACAGAATTGATGATTAACAAATAATGATAAAATGATAATACTCAGATGTTATGTTTTGATATTAAACAAACTGCTAATTAAAGTCCTGTAGCTCCCACAGCTGGAGTGTTGTACAGGAACATTCAGTGCTGTACAGGATCAGGTCTTAGTCCCTTGGGACTTGACTTCACTTGCTGTGTATGCTGAACTGAGAGCAGCTGATTTTGACTCTGCATTGGTTTACGCTGCATGTAGTGAGGTAAATGAGTGGGATTGCACTAGAACAGTGTCTGAGTCACTGAAATAAATTAGCATATTTTTGTGAGGAGTAGACACAATTCTGTTTTTGTACGTGGTCCAAGTTAGAGTGAAGCACAGGCTGATTTAGAGCTTTTTGACCATAACAAATGTGCTAATACACTTAAAAATCAGTTCATGAATCAAATTCCTGAGTCAAAAGAGCTTTTAACTGGTTGAGCTTGTTCTGAACTTCACAGTGCCAAAAATTAATATGAAGTACTTGAATTATTGGTGTTTCAACAAACTCTTCTTCATTTTTTTCTTTTTTCAATTTTTATAGGACTTATGAATTGCTATTTTATTCTACATACGGCCATTTAATAGTATTAAAACATTGTGGTAGACAGTGAATTGGCAGTACCAGTGTTTTCTGTTCCTTTCTAATGCATTGAACAAACTACTTTAAAAAAAATATTTTAAAATAGTTCACTGGTACAAATTACTTCTTAGTTTTCTGCCATTAGCAACATTTTCCTGTCTACTTTCTGCATTGTGTTTTGGTTCAGTAGAGGAGGAGCCATAGTCAGTTTTCAGGAACTGGTTAACTTTATTAAGACACCAAACAAAAGGAGTGTAACTAGGAGAAGGTAGCTCCTAACCAACAGCCCACAGCCAGTTCCATACAAAACTGGTTACAAGAGTGCAAGTCTCTTAAAGGGGCATCATCCTTACACTGGCCAGATTCTGCTGTGCACTTTTGCTCTGAGCAGTGGTAAGATGTGGCACTACTTGAATGTTCCCAGTTAGGAGTGCTAATTTAACTGATAAATAAATGAGTTCCTGTAACAGTACTGCTCTTATAGTTAATGGGACTTGAGTATCCAAATCCTTTGGCTGGCTTTGAACTTCCTAGCCTAAATGAAGAAACAGAACAAAAAGCTTTACTAAACTAATGTTAAGGTTGTAACTTAAGCCCACAAAACAAGAGGATTCAACATCATTATCTCTTCCTGTTAGATGTGGGTATTACAGTTACTATGATCCCATGTAAGAGGGCCTCAAACCAGCATGAGATCCATGGCTTGAATAAAAAAACAAACCATGTAAATGAATGGAAGTGTAATATCTCCTGTACAAGATTTATCAACCTGTGTGATTTCATTTCAGAATCCCTTACTATTACAAAGAGGATGTTTCAGCTGCGTTCAATGACACTGCAAACCATACTGTACCAGTTTTAATACAGAACCTAACACCCAATTCTGTCATATTTATTTTGAGCAACATTATATTCTAGAGTAGTTGTTCTGAAATTACTATATTTGGGGGAATAAAATATTACTCAGTAAGAGTAAGTGTGGTAGAACCAAGCCTTAGGGATTTATTGTCGTGACAGAAAGCTCTCATTAGTTCAGCTGAAATATTGTTTCCCAACTCTCATATGTGAGCTACATCCAAACTTAGCCAAGGCTGCTTTGTATCAAACTTTCAAAAATAATCATTTCACTTAAAGAATATTTGTCTATGTATAACTGGAAATATCTGAGGCATTGGGAAAGTGCATTGTGGATAAAACTTGCACCAGTCAAATTAATGGGAGTTTTTGCTTTCATTTGGTTGAGAGGAGGAACAGCCTCTGTTTACTGAAACCTGAGGACCCAATTTTGCAGCTCTTAGGTCAGTTCCCACTTCTGCCCCATATTCAAATTAATAAATTAATGTATGTAATCTGGTACTGTAAGTGATACAAGTCTTTTGTGCCATGTTTCAGGTTGGTAGGATTTGTGGAGGTCTACAATAAACAAGGATCCTGGTTTTCTCTATTCAAAAATTGCTAGTTCTCTGATAAAAATGCAAACTCTCTGATCAAACCCCCCAAATCCGCACTTTTCTGTGATTAAAATGAAACACCACCATATGTATGCATATCAGTTGAACACGATGTTTTATTGATATATTTAAAATTATAAAGCAGTTTGGAAGCCTACCATTGCCTCAATCATTATAATAAAATAAATTCTAAATACTTATATATTTTGGTGTTTTATTTTTTTATCATGGAAAACCAGAGCTCCCCCTGCCCTCTTTGCTCACTAGGACATGGGTCCAGCTGTGGCTCTCCCCCTGCTGCTTTAGGGTGCTGAGAGGGCTTAATATGCTGGTGCCTTGCCTCTGCCATTGCTGTTGCCCCTGCCTCCTGACACACAGCCCCCTGGCCCTACCAGTGCCCCTTACTCCTGACCCACAGTCCCCTGCCCCCAGTGTGTGAGGAAGGGAGTGGGTGTGTGTGGGGAAGGGGTGGTGTGGGCACTGGTGATGCATAAGGGGGTAGGGGAGGCAGACGACATGGCAGAAGGCATATACCCCTTCAAGATTTCTGCACTTACATTGGGATATGGGGCTGCAGCCAGGGTGGACCAGTTCTGGGCAGGAGCCATCTCCACAGCCCACCTGGTGTGGGAAAGAGCCCCATGCTGCCATAGTGAGGTGCAGCAGTGTGGAGTTGTGTACCCTGCTTCTGCCGGGCAGGCAGGGGATGCCTCACCTCAGTAGCATTGGTGGCATGGTACTCCTTTCTGTTATGGATCCCGTCCGCTGGGCCATGGAGGCAGCTCCTCCCAAGCTGGTGTGGCCTGGCTGCAGCCCTGTGCCCCACTGTGGGCGCAGAAATGTGTGAGGGCACGTGCACCCTCACCATGTCACTCTGCCCCCTCCCCTGAGGTCGCCTGTTCTCCCTGGCCCAACCTGATGTGTGTCACCTGTGTACCCCCTGCCTCCCCAATATGTTGCCTGTGACCTCCCTCCCCACCTCCATAGACTTACCTGAAAGGAGATAAGGGAGCTGCACTCCACCACTCTGCCTGGCTGCCATGTGTGTGTGTGTGCACATGCATGTGGTGTCCCCTGTGTCCCACTCCCCCCAGCCCCAGGCAGCCCCCTCAAGGCTGGACTCTGCCAGCCTGCAGAGCAAACCCTGTGGTTTTCCAGGGTTCTCTCCTTTAAAGGAGAAAATCTGCATTTTTCTGTGGCAAATGGAAAACCTGGATCCCTGGTAATAACTTTGTGACTTATTCCTTGTTTTATCATGCTGTTGATTACATTGGTGTGTTGTTGGGTAACAACTGGTTAATTGTATCTTAAGCATAACATGTGCCAGAAGCCATAGAAAATTAAATACATAGCACTACTCAAAACACAGGCATATGCAGACATACTCAGGAATTTGAACCATGTGGGCAGGCGTATCCCTGTTTTGGTAACATTCAGTTTTTATAGTGGAAATTGTGTTTCAAACAACACAGAGGTATCCAGCACTGACTTTTTTTTTTCCTTCAGTCTTTATTTATTTATTTATTCATTTAGAAAAGTTGGATCTCTGTGCTGCATCTCATGTCAGCACTGCAGATTACAACGTTTAATATTCTTAAATTTTAAATAAGACAGCAAAGTATAACTGTAAGTCCCATACAACTTAGAGTGGCAGTTGCATGAATATCCTGCTGTGTCTCTAGTTATATTGATGCCTGACTTTTTTTCTTAACTCAGAATAGCTGAGTTTTCTGTAGTCTCTTGTGCTTGTTACATAGACTCTGGTATTGTTGCAATGAAAGCCAGACTTCAACTTCTGGCCAGCTCTTGAGGCTCGTGGTGATTGATTTACTGATACTTTATAGGTCTTGATTCTTGTTTACTTTCCTGAGAGCTACAACCATTGCTAAAGCACTTGCAGAATGCTGTATTTATGTTAATACACGTCCAAATTACATTAATGGAAAGACCATCAATTCCATTAAAAAGAAGAAAAAAGCACAGAATGAAATACATTTATGCAATAAAAGCCCTTTCTTCAGTTGGCATATAGCACATCTGGCCTGTCTGACAACCCTCGTGTCCCAGACTTGACTCTTTAACCCAAGTGAATGTCCTCTAGTTTAGTTCCGTTTTTGAGGTACATCATTTAGTTTATATCCAGATATTTTACCTGCCTGTATCAACTTGGTGTTCTATTATGTGGTTGCTGCTATGAATGGAGGATAGATATGCTGCATCTTGAAATGTTTTGATGAAAGTAATGCCGTATCAACCCAAGCATCATTGTCCTCTAATTTCTGGTGGTGTTTGTTCGTTTGGAAACTCTCTTGCCAAATTACCAACCATCCCACATTTGTGCCTTTAGTGGGTTGTAAGCTTCATCCATGGGTGTTTTCTTGTAGAGTTGCTGTACTATTTGAACAGTGCATGCTCTCTTCGTAAGGAGGCACCGGATCCTGAGAGTGGTCGCTCCGAGCCTCTCCTACAGAGGTTTTCATGGTAGCCTCCTCATATGATGGAGGCAAGCACAGCATGAGGGAAGAGGCTTCTGGGAGCAGGGTGGAGTAATGGAAGTTCTGCTCATTGTTCCAGGGAAGCACTGAAAGGAAATCTGACACGTCACGCTCGGGCAAGGGCTCTGGGAGGTCAATACTGAAGATCTGCCTCTGGGGGCTGGGTCGCTGGCACC